TTAAAGCACGTACAAGTGTAACTGTACGTAAAGCAATCAGCCAATCTAATATAAAAGATGAAAGTAAGACAATTGCAACTTAATCTGGTCAGTCCTGATAGTCATTGAACGTGAAATTAACTATATTTTTACTTGTAATAACTAAAAATTAAAACGAGCATATATTATATACCACCATACAAAACAACCTGAAATGAGACCAATAATACAGCAGATAACGGACGAAGCTAGTAAAACACTCGGATTTTTGCGGGAAAATATCATGAATTTCATGAACAAAAGTAAAAGCCAATATCTATGATCAGAATATACCTCAACTGTTTGGGACCCAGCCATAAAAGAATCTATCTACAATAATAAAACATATACACAAACAAAAACTGCCAAATACGTGACAAACAAGTACAAAACCAACTGCTAGTGTCTCAGAAATGATAGATCACCTGCACTCAGCAATGGAAATATCACTTCAACAACGTAGAAAGGGAACCAGACTGAGACGGGTCTAGATCACCCATCTGCTGATACGACATCTGCTGATTTTGCACCATTAATCTGCCAATTTTTACCAGACTAGTCATGTTTCATAAAATAGAGAACATTCAAAAGCACATCAATTACCACACTCACGTATTGATGCACCACATAAGTTTTCATACTTACCACAGATTATAAGGGACTAGAACGCCTTATCACCGGACAACCCACAGACAGAAACACTAGGTGTCTTCAAGGCCCTAGTGTCAAACCTCTAGAGCCTTGGAGGTTCCTACTGTTTTTAGCCAGTTTTTAAAGTTTAAAATTTAAATTTCACTTGAATATCGTTATTTCCATTGGATAACAGCACAAAGATTTCTTACATGAGGTCCTATCCTGCAAACGGAACTTGTTAGGAAACAAAAAATCTTATATAGCATAATCTTCAATTTGTTGAAGGAGGCTATTACCCGACAGAAACATATAAAGACACAAAGCGCTCTTTATCTGGCTATCACGTATATATTCAGACAGTATCCTGCATAAAAAATTAAAAAAAATTTAAAATAGAGCCAAGCTTATAGAAATGAGATATTTAATTTTATTTAAGTTTTTTTATCTCCACACTGAGTCCGGTACCCACCCCTGCTAGCACCTCTATGTGCACCGACTGAGGTGGGACAGCTACCATAATGAAACTTAAAATAATAAATTACAATGTAAGCTAGTTAGCCAGCATAAAAATGCTAGAACTTGTATCAAATTACCTGCAAGCAGAGTAACAACACTTAGAACCAGTACAGCGGGCTGAACAAAACCCCTAAAATGTGCAAAACTGTGTTTAGTCCTTAAGTAGTCTAGTATAATTATATATATTATATATTTATATACGAGAAAAGGTATTTGTACTCGACTAACGAAATTTAAGATATAGTTTTATATACTTGTAGCCTAGTTGGTCGAGTGGTCTAGGGCGCTGGTCACAGTGCAGGCGGAGTTGCCACGATGTCACAGACGCAAGGGTTTGAATCCCGCTGACACAAATTTACAGATCTAACATTGTTGGGCTGAATTTGAGACGAATTATATATATATATATATATATTATAGAATATCCAGTATGGAAGAAGCTACAAAACGAAAAGATTTCTTACCACAAAAGTGACATCAATCTAATTAAAACTTATATCCATATTAACTCGCTAGCTCGTATATATGTCGTGTACAAGTTGCGATTTATTGTACATGTGATAACATGTACAAAAATATTGTACATGTTATAATTTGTACAATGCAAAAATACAAGTTATAACATGTACAAAAGTACCTCGTAAATGTTATAAAATGTACAAAATATTGCTTAAAAATGGTTTTAACTTGTACAAAATTGGAAAATAAATTTAAATAAAGCAGAATATACATTTTAAATTTATTGCATAATAAAAAACAATAATCAAAAGCCCAGAACGTGTTTCTTTAGAGCAGAGTGATCGCAAAGTTTCAGAAATGTTTTTATTGCTTCACGGCTTATGTTGGCATAATACGTTTTCATGTCATTGTATGTTTTATGCAGTCCACCATGGTCTACAGCAGTGTGACGCTGTTTGATAATTGCATACATTTCCTTAATGGCAACAAAGAAGATAACTGGGTCATCTGAAATTTTTAAGAACAATGCCTTGCAATTTTGGATTATACCCCTCCCCCCTCTTTTTTTTTAACATGCAAAAATTAAAGCACGGTCTCCTATGCATACTCTATAAAAGCCAGAGAGAGAAAATGGTTTTCATTGGACCACGCTTAATCATAAATATCTTTGGAGTTCAGGGCCGAAACTAGCCTCTTTTAAAAGTGAGGCAAAATATATTCGCCGAGCGAAGCCAATTTCGGCGAGGAGTCTGGGGGGCCGCGCAAGGCCCCCAGAAGTTCGGGAAAAATAACGCAAAATTGTGCATTCTGAGCTTCTCGGACCCGTTCTTAATCTGAAACGCAAGTTTTGTTTTAATTATGTTTTCGACAATATTTTTGTCTCAAAGCAAAATATATAGATTCATTGTAGGGACAACATCAAAAGACTGATAAGTAGGATAAAGCAAAAACCGTATTTCACATAATTAAGTGTGTGGCTGTTTTTTTTTTTTGTTAATTGAGTTTCGACTTGCAGAAAACGTATTATACCTGTCAATTATTTTTTTTTTCAAATCAAGTTAAGAGGGGGCTGATTATCATTTATTTAACTATGTGAATTCAGATTTTATAACACATTTCAATTACAACTTGATGTAGTTCCTAAGTGGGATAAAAGGGTACACTCGGGGTATACTCAGGTAAACTGTTCTTAGACCTCATTGCTACATTTTATACCGGTTGATTAATGTCGGATCTGTCTGTTCTGGTCTTGTATTATGTTTAGACTTTGGTGTATTTTTTTGTGACTTCGAAATTTATTCACAGTACAATACTTTAAGTACCGCTGAAGTCGACGCTAGGGGCCGTCTTGACCTTATTGTGGGATATGAATGATTCTTTCATTGTTGAAGACCCCCAAGCGACTGCCAAGATGAAGAACAGGAATAAAAACCCTGTTCATTGATAATATGTACCTTTTCTATGTAGTGTGTGCGATTTTGTCCCATGCACATTTACTCCATATCCTTTATTTTCTATTTAAGGGCCTGAACACGGCTTAATGCAAGTTTAACCCTTCAATGTAAAAGGTCGCATGGCAATACATGATTTTTCTTTTTAAATGATTTGATTCCGGGAGATTGGTTGTCTCACTTTAATTTAATCCATGTCAGCTTTTTAGTTTTATTTACAGAAAAGAGAGCCAGTCTTGTATTCTTTAATATAAAGTTTAATTTTCCATGAAAAAAACGACCAATTTTTCTATATCCGGTAGCTTTGAATCTTCTCAAAACATTTTTTCGAACAATATCTGGGCATCGGTGGACATGCAACATTGCCAAACCACACAACCTTTCACCCGTCATCGTTGAACTTTTCCAAGTCTTAAGTCTACGCAAAGCAGAGAATGAACGTTTACAACATACAGATGTTACGAGAAGAATCAACAACAGCTTAATATTGGACAATTGAAGCGTTAGTTATAAAGATTGATTGATTGATTGATTGGTGTTCGCTTAATGCCGCCTCAGAACAAAAAGGGAGAGCTAATTTCAAATATTTTTACAATTTAAAGTAGTTTTTAAAATTAGACAAAAGGTCCTTAAATATAATAAAACTCAATTTAAAAACAAAATTACTAAATTAAATTTACAAATGAAATTCAACACTAAGACAATAGTCATGAAGAAGGGCAATAAACGAACAAAAGACAAACCCGGTAACAGATAAGACACATAACGACAAACAATAGACCATCAACACTGAAAACTAAAAATAAATCAGGAACATGGATCCCGAAAAACAGGGGACGACGTCAGAGGGTGAACAGAACTTGCTTCTTGCAAGACACTCGCCGTGAAAACAATTTGATATGAAGACAAGCTTTTGTTTCAACTTATCTTTTTTTCTTTCTCGAAATTTCCAACATGAAATGCCTCATTTGCCTCAATGTAGTTACATTTTGTACGGCCCTGGAATTATTGAATCTGCTCTATAACATTTTTGGCCTTCAGCAAAACTGATGTAAATCTTACGCATCAAATCATTATTTTTTCATAATAATTAAGATCATTGCATGAGTCGAATGTTATTTTGATGTTTTAAATTTCTATCCTCTACTTTGAAAACAGGGTATTGTTTGACATATCAAGGATTTCATTGTAAAATCTATCCTGGCTATCCTTTTGCATCTCAAGTGTCAACAAGTATGAAAGTATTTTACTATTGCCTTTAAAGTGGACACTCACAAATATAATTTATCAGATGAGAATACTGAATAATGTTTGTTGACTGCATGTGTGTTTTAAAAGGTATAAAGTAATTATAAAAACTATTCATCTGGTCATTAACTATATCAAAATGGACAAAACACATGTTAAAGTATCTTTAAATATATTTTGAATGATTATTATGAAGCAATTTTTGTAAACATATTGGTGCCAAGTTATTCAAAATTTGTCCTGGTCTCGAGTGCCATATATTGTCATGATGCGTTTTACTTGTAGGATTGGGACGTCTAAAGGAGAGTTTCATAGGGGGGGGGGGGGGTAATTTTTTTACCGTAGTTTGTGTTGAATAGTACAAGTATTTCTAAAAACGCAAATTTTACAACTTTCTATTTTACTCTCCGAGGAATTAACTATAATATAATTGACAATTTAAGTTTGATATTTGTAGTAAAAATATATAACAATTTAGGTACATGGAAAAAAAAAGAAAAAAAATAATACCAAATTAGTACCTATACAAACGTATAGGTACATAGTAACTGTGTCTTTTTAAATCGGAACGAAGAAGTTTTCATGTCGATTTAAACATTTGAAAATTGAATAAAGAAAGGTTTCCTGTCACGTCACTGCTCGATAAATTTTACATCTGGTTATTGATAAAAAGGTGCGCGCATGTTTTCAAGGAACTATTTTTCTATCTTCGAATCTCTGCATACCACCTCTGGTGTTGACAAGTATATTGCAAGAATCAAAATCATTGTTCCATAATGTCAAAGACCGACTCTGACACAGGTTTGTGATTATCAAAACTCTGTAATAATGTAGAATTGAAGTATTATATATGTATTTATAAAATTGAAAATCTATTTAACTTCCGCTTGCCTTCATTTGATGATCGTAGAAAGGGTTCTGGAAAGGGGACCCTCATTTCTGTATTCTGTTACATATTGGGCCATTTTTCTCTCAATTTTGCCCCTTATTAAACATTCTTTATATTTTCTCTATTCTTAATTTTTGGTCTATTTTGTATTTCTTGGTCCGTTTTTCTGTAGTCTTGGCTCATTATTCTCTATTTTATTAACCCCATCCATTCCCTCTTAGAAGAGATGCAAACACATTTGTACTGATCAACTGGGACAAGGGATGTAGTATATATAATTTGCTTGGAAGAGCCGGGTCATCCATCGATTCATCACTCAAACATATTCCATCAAAGGCTATGTTGTAAATTAAATCAATAATAAATAACTGGTGCATAGTTTACGGTGAATTCAAAAATAAACTGTTAACATCAGTGTTGTTGATTCTGGATAGGGTTTCAATGAAGTTTAGTGAGCCGTTTTTTAAAACTCGCTTATGCGTTAGACGTTTAACAGCTTGTCCGGTAGTTGGTTCCAATCCATGATTGTATGTGGGGAAAATCTGTATATATACATCCATAGTTTGTTTGCATAAAATCGTCTGCAGCTTGCACAGACATGTGCTTATGTAAAAGCCTTTGTAACAAGCAATGCTAACCATACACAAGTGTACAAAATAAAAAAAAAACATGTTTGGCCTTGACATTTATATCAAATTTAATCAAGTTAAAAAGAATACCCGGAAAACAATATTTCGTATACCTTCACAAAGTGTTATTGATACTTGAGTGGGTCATTATCAACGTTGAAATCACCATCAACACCCAAGTCATCGCCAAAGAATTATATTACCTCTCAATCATTTTCTTTTTTATATAGCTCGTATAATATCCTACAAACTGTTTGCTTAAATGCATGCTCATAATATTGTGATAAGTTTATAATTTTTATTGTATTATGGAGAAGACTTCACAAGTCTTATTCATTTTGCTTTAATAGACACGCCCCCTCAACCTAATACAATTTACAATCCAATTTATGGTTGATCTGTCCGAAATCGTCTTGGGCAATAAAAACTTTATTTAAATATCTTTGTAATTTTTCATCTTCGAACATGTTGAACATATGTTGAACCGATGAAACATTTTATTTTCAAAGCCATTTCGTTATTCAAACACTACGTTGGATATTGCTCCGTTTGTATTCTGTATTTAATTGGATTGTCATTCAATTTGTAATTCTTATTATTTTTTAAAGATATTTTTCACATGGCATCAAACGATCAACGTGTCTGCGAACCATGTTCAAGAGGTGATACTGTCTCATCTGGTTACAGCTGGTGTTCTGACTGTGAGGAAATATTATGTGATGTTTGTGACAAATCTCACCGAGTGAACAAACTAACTCTGTCGCATAACCTAACCGAGATACGCGAATTACCGTTTATTCCGACAGAAACAGTTATCAAATTACGTTTCTGTGAAAATCACCCAGAAAAGATTGTTGACTTTTATTGCGCATTTCATGACGTCGTTTGCTGTCAGACATGCATACCTGATAGTCATCGAGCTTGTAAGCAGGTTAAAGTTATTGATGATGTATCTAGTGGTATAAAATCGTCGGCTCTAGTGGAAGACGTATCAAAAGCAGTTTCTTCCTTTCTGAAAACATTTCAGTCAGTTATAGAAAATCGCAAAAACAATAAAGAATCAGTGTTTTTACAAGAATCAATTATTAAAACATCAATAGAAAAGTTAAAACAGGATTTACTGCAACATGTTGAATCTCTTGAAACATCTCTACTTTTTGAATTGGCAAAATTAAAAGACGAAACCGTATCCCAGCTTAATGCTGATATAACCGAATCAAAATCAATGAGCCAAAATTGGCAGAAAATTAAACAAGAACTTGATTTCAATATCGAACATGGCTCTAATAACCAGTTATTTCGTTTGGTTCAAAAGCTTAAAAATATGATATCAGATGAGGAAATGAAACTTCAAGACAATTTAACAAGGACAATGAACTTTGATCTGAAATACTTTGTAGAAGAAGACTTATGCACCATGATTTCCTCGCATTGCAAAGTAAATGTTGCAAATCAGCATTGCGGTATTAGCCATATATCTCAATTGGATACAAAAGCACAGTTTGTACCAGCCGTTTTGTCTTTCACACCAGCTAATTCAATTGACTTATCGTTGAATGGAACATGCGCAATATCTGGTATAGAAATAATAGGCGATAGACTATTGTTATGTCATTTTAATGCAAGCAAGATATTGGTGTATAAAAATGACGGTACATTTATTAAAGAAAAATGCACTGAAATCAAGCCATATCAAATATCAAAGATGCCCAACGAATCACATGTTGCACTGACTACACTAGATTCTTCAACTATTTTGATAATTGACAGTGAAAGTTTAGATAGCATTCGCATGATAAATACAGAAAAATCATACACTGCTTTGAAAACACTTGATCATGCGTTTATTTTTGGCGGAGTCAATATTTTGGACATTATATCGTTTGATGGTAGTGTAAACCGACCTTTTACTGTCCCTAACATTAAGGATAGTAAAATTCGCTGTATACGAAAAAGACAAGACGATACACTATTGTTCACCAACTCCTATAATTTATATTGTATCCGTTTAATAGATGGCACGTCAATTTTTGAGTACTCTTCAACAACTGAGGCACGTGGCATAGCTGAAGATCAATATGGAAATATATACGTCGCAGACAGAAGACAGAAAAATATACACAGGCTCGCTCCTGATGGATCATTCATTGATATTGTACTTACGGAAGATGACGGAATCGGTATACCGATTGCTTTGCATTTCAGTAGCGATTATAGTAAACTATATGTAGGAATGGATCGAAATAATGTGTTGGCAGTTTTCAAATGCAAATGAACTATGAAATTTAAATTTGTCAGTTATATTCCATAAACATTGTTGCAGTCATTTTCGATATGAGAATTTAGGGCAGCACGATTTAATGTCAGCATGCTAAGACTTTGAGCTTGCTTCAAGTAAAAACTGCAAGCATTATTTGATAGGTAACATAATTATTTTTTGTACTTTCGTTTTTGTTATCTATTGCATGCACAAACGAGGAAAGTGCTTTTCTTACATTGATTTTACTTTGAGTTCTTTCATGTACATTTTGTTAGCCATCTGGTTGAGATTAAAAAGGGGGATTTGATATGTACAAAACTATTTTAACTGCACATTTATATATATACCTGTTCCAAGTAAGGTACCTCTGCAGTAGCATTTTGTCAATTTGCTTCCTCGCTTCATACACACTGTACTTCGGTCAACGTTTTTACAATCTAATAGAATTACAAAAAGAAGCATTCAATTCTTAAATGTTTTTTTTTTCTCTCTGTTATTTGGAGAACTTGGTGTTGATGACAGATCTTTAATAGTTTCTGTTTAATTGATTCTAAACATTTTTTTATACTCGGGACGATTTAGAGCTCGATATGTTGTACAGAAACCTGTCTTTTTGTAAAGACTGCGATTATTGACTGTGATGACCTCTAGGTTGACCACTTTGATTGGTTTGCTGTGTCATTGAAGTATACTCCACATCATCTTTATTCGTATTTTGAACATATGATACATTTGACTGTACTTCTCTATCGAATCATAGATTAGAAGGATTGCATATAAAATAGAATACAAAAGAGATAAGAAAGTCCAGGGTCCATAAGGGCATTAGTAGTTTTAAAGTTGAAATAAAACCAACATGAAAACGGAGAGATAAGAATCAACGACTTTACAATAACAATAGTTGTGACGTCATAGAAAAGCCACTTTTTTGCGTATTCATTAAAATGCATAGATTTTGGCAGACATTCATATGCTTCTCGGACCTGCAAAAAGAAAGCCCATGCAAAATCCCATTAAACAACTCACTAAAATGTTGGTATGCATGATCAAATCTCTCCTACAATTATTATCTAAAAGACGTTAACACACTTTTTATAATTTTCATTATATTTGGATTTAAACAGAAAAAATAATAGAGAAAACGTTTAATTTAAGACCGAAGAACAAAACATAACACAACACAAATATGTTTCCATTAGATACCGTGCTAGTCACACTTTCACATATTCATGTTCAATGAACTTTGAAAGCTGGGTCAAAACCCTTAATTTAGATATATTTTTTAAAGTTTGCATAATGAACTTGCATGTGCACAAAGGCTGGGCAAAAAACAATCTCTTAGATGGTCCAATGAGTACTGACTGCGTATGATCGATTCATGTTAGAAGTGTTTTTTTTTTTGAGAAATTAAGGCAGCGATTCTCACAATATCAGACCCCGGCCCTGTCCTTGAATTTTATTTTCTAAATTAGGTGACATTCTTTGTGTATACTGTAAAGATAAATTCCAAATGTAACGACTAAACTTCTGTGACCTAGCATACCTACAATATGCCACAGTATGTGTGGAGTAGCTGTTGCAGTAGCGAGAAAGCAGTCGATTTGCATAAGATATATGCAGACTAACCCAAACAATTTCACTCACGCAACGTTCTTTTTTATTTTTAATTATGAACTTACTGTTTTTACAAAACTAATTTTGGGACGAACATTTCCATATTCTGTACATTACTTATATTTTTATATTTTAAAACCAGTTTAAGAACCTCACTGTTCTCTATCTATTATTTAAATTCACTATGATTAATTTCTTTTCGTTATTTGTACGAATTATTCTCTATATTCATTATACCCCACCAAATACGGGGCGCCGAATGGGACGTGAACTTTTTGTAATCAAAATCAATTTTGTGTACACAAAATTCAATTTTGTCATAACAAAATCATTTTTGTCTTACAAAACTATGTGATACAGACTTGTTTTATGAGAACTTCAATTTTGTAATGACAAAATTCATTTTTGTAGACAAAATTGAATTTTGTCAAATAGGTATGCAAATATAAACTTATTTGCATACACAATTGACTTTTGTTACCTGATATGGAAATTAAAACACAAAAGTAAATTTTGTGAGACAAAATTGAATTTGTAAGCAATTAACATGTTGATTAAATTAGCATCCTGTGATTTTGTAATTAAAATTATTTTTGTGTAGACAAAATTGAGTTTTGTTAAACAGAAGTGAAAATTTAACACAAAATTGACTTTTTAAAAGAAGTCAATTTTGTATGCAAATTTGGATCTGCAAATGAATTCTCTCAAAAAATGATTTTGTAAGAAGGCCTCTCATTGGCTATAGTAAACGCGGGTCTCGCAGGTTCAAGGACATATCATATGGGTGATGCGCTATTCTGCAAAAGTAAGTAATACCTAATAAAGTATATATGTCAAATATAGGACATTTTGTGCAATAGTGATTATTCTAATATGACGTCCTTCTTTTGCTTTAATGTCAACAAACTCATGTTACTTATGGGGAAAACGTGCTATTTATGAACCGATGGGATGAGGTTGGGGTAGTTTTGGGAATAAGGAAAAGTACTGTAGGTTAAAATCGGAAAATATTATTTCTACTGTTGTACCATGTCTGAAAACTTGAAATGGTGAAATTATTGCTTGCTTGAAGCGAGTTTTTGTTCTGTCCTTGAAATCCCGACAAATAGAAAACATGTGCGATTTCGCGAAATACGTCTATTTTAACCACGCGCATTGTTATCGAGAACTGATTACTATCGAGAACAAATGACTACACGATACTCTAAATCGTCTTTTGAAAAATAACTGACGTCGGAAGTTCAATTGTGACGTCAATCACGTGTATCCCATAAGTAACATGGGTTTGTTGACATTAAAGCCAAAGAAGGACGTCATAATTGAATAAAAAATATTGTACAAAATGTCCTATATTTGCCATATATACTTTATTAGGTATTTATACTTACTTTTGCAGAATAGCGCATCACCCATATGATATGTCCTTGAACCTGCGAGACCCGCGGTTACTATATCCAATGAGAGGCCTTCTTACAAAATCGTGATGAGAGAATTCATTTGCATACAAAATTAACTTTTGTTAAATTTTCACTTCTGTTTAACAAAACTCAATTTTGTCTACACAAAAATAAACACAAAATTGAATTTTGTGACAAAATCTCAGTTTTGTATGCAAATTAGTTCACAGAACCCAAACTAAACTAATTTGCATACAAAATTGACTTTTGTCGCCCAATTTTCAAATTTAGGTAACAAAAGTAAAGTCTGTGATACAAAAATGAATTTTGTCATGACAAAAGTAACTTTTGTCCACTGAAAGATAATTTTGTATGACAAAATTTAAATTTGTAGTATGCTACAAATTTTGTTAAACTGAACTCATTTTTGTTGACCAAAACTCACTTTTGTCCGTACAAAATTGAATTTCGAGTACAAAACCACAAGAGTCCCGTTCGGGGCCCCGTACCAAAACCCTTCATATACAAAATGTAAGTTTTGTGGAAAACTGAATATGTATAACGATGTGTATATAATTATCCATGCACTGCTATTTAAATATATGCAGTATTTTTTTTTTCAAAATTAAGAATTTCTCAAGTTTCGATTTTACTCTACCCGAAGTAATTGCTATAAAAGAATTGACCAAGGCATATGTGAAAAAAATATATGCTAAATTATTTCCATGCACACGCGCAACATCTTACACTATTTAGAATTAGTTTTTATACAGGAAAGATACAGTTTTCATGCATGTTAGATACATGACTATGTCGATTTAAAGATTTGAAAATTAGATAAAAAGGTTTCCCGTTACAATGTACGTCACTGATTAAATTAAGTTCACCTTTGATTATTGATAAAAAGGAGCGCGCATGCTTGCAAGGAACTATTTTTTCTATCTTCCTACCTGCATGATGATTTAAGAATATATTGCTAGAATCAAACTCATTGTTCGAAGCTGTCATAGAACGAATCTGACACAGGTGTGTTATTATTGTAACTGATGTAATAATGTAGAATACAAGTGGTATGTATGTATACAAAGGTACAATCTATATTACTTCCGCTTGTACTTCATGTTACCCCAACTTTTAATATCGAAATGAGACACATGTGAACACGGTGAATGAGACTTTTGTTGGACCCTGATACATTTGATAGGTAAATTTTTATCTGAATTGCTTTGAAAAAGTCATCGACCCTTCGCGTAATTGTATATTCCAACATGGCTAAATATTTAAAATTAAATGAATAACAAATAGCTGGTACATATTAACAGTGAGTTTAAAATAAACTGTTAAAATCAATGAGTGTCTGGATGTTGGGTTCTTCATTTCTTTATTCTGATTTTTTTTAGACAATTCTTTATTCATTTTGCCTATTGTTCTCTATTCTTGATATTTAAGCACTCATTGTTTTCTATTCTTAATTTTTTTTGCGTTTTTTATCTATGCTTTGTTTTGTTGCCTTTTTTTCTCTATCACTTGGGTTTTTTTGTCTGCCATTTGTTCTTCACTTTTTGTCCATTATTCTCTGTTAAATAGTTGGTAATTTTATTCAACAGAAGATCTCAACATTGTTCCATAATGTCACAACCGATAACAGACAATACTTCATAACATATTCAGCTTAATGGCATGACATTCTTCTATTTAACAAAAAAAAAAATAATCAGAGATTGACAATAAATTGACCTACCCTATCTATAGTATTGATATTTTATACCCGAAAATCTCATCAGAAAATCCAAGTAAGTTTTTTTTTTTCTCGCGTTACCATTTGGTTGTGATTTGATGGTTTATCAGGCGTGTATAATGTCGTGCATTGCTTTGTTCAGTCGAGTCATATGGGAAGTTATCCTTTTTATATAACTTGGCCTTAGCTTTCTCATCACTTGGCGTCCGTCGTCCGTCGTCGTTGTTGTCCGTCGTCGTCGTCCGTCGTCGTCGTCCGTCGTCGTTAACTTTTACAAAAATCTTCTCCTCTGAAACTACTTGGCCAAAGTTAACCAAACTTGGCTACTATCATCATTGGGGTATCTAGTTTAAAAAATGTGTCCGATGACCCCACCTTCCAACCAAGATGGCTGACATGGATAAAAATAGAACATAGGGGTAAAATGCAGTTTTTGGCTTATATCTCTGAAACTAAAGCATTTAGAGTAAATCTGACATGGGGGTTACAATGTTCATCAGGTTAAGATATATCTACCCTGAAATTTTCAGACGAATCAGACAACCCGTTGTTGGGTTGCTGCCCCTGAATTGGTAATTTTAAGGAAATTTTGCAGTTTTTTGTTATTATCTTGACTATTATTATAGATAGAGATAAACTGTAAAGAGCAATAATGTTCAGCAAAATAAGATCTACAAATAAGTCAACATGATCAAAATTGTCAATTGACCCTTAAGGAGTTATTGCCCTTTAACGTCAATTTTTAACAATTTTTCGTAAATTTTTGTCATCTTTTACAAAAATCTTCTTCTCTGAAACTAATGAGACAAATTTAACCAAACTTGGCCACAATCATCATTAGGGTATTTAGTTTAAAAAATGTGTCCGATGACCCCGCTTGCCAACCAACATGGCCGACATGGCTAAAAAATAGAACATAGGGGTAAAATGCAGTTTTTGGCTTATATCTCTGAAACTAAAGCAAAAGTATAATGGTTGCATTATTTCATGCATCAATTGTAAACAAAAATATCAGATGAGCGACACAGGCTCCTTGGAGCCTCTAGTTAATGATAGTGCTGGTAATTCTAGTTTTATGTTACATTCACTGTCTCTCTAAAGTAATTGAGAAAAAAAATGTTCCAGTCTATGGAAGATGTTTCAGAACATCTTTCCCTTATACATAAGAAATATACCAAGTAAGAAACTCAAGTATTATTTTCAAAAAAAGATACATGTCCTGAATGTGACACATGCAGTATGAAATAGTACACTTATAGTTTATGACCCATCCGGTTGTAAAACCCATGCTAAGATAAGAAGATAAAATAAGACTTTATTGGTGTAAAAGCCAGACAATAGGATTGTTGCTAAATGACAACATAATCGGGATAGATAAAATTTTCGTATATAAGTGATCATTCGTTTTTAAGTTAATTTTTCCCCTTATGTTTATTAAATAGTTTTTTTAAATTTAAATTTAAATACGAATTAGACTTGTCACCAACTTGGTACTTAAACGAGCAACACCACGGGTGTCACTTGTGGAGCAGGATCTGCTTACCATCCCGGAGCACATGAGATCACCACCGGTTTTTTGGTGGGTTTGTGTTGCTCATCCTTTAGTTCCTATGTTGTGTTTAGTGTACTGTTGTTTGTCTTTTGGTCGTTTTCTGTTTTTCCATGGCATTGTCAGTTTGTTTTCGACTTATGAATTGGAATATCCCTTTGATATCTTTCACCTCTCTCTTCTATAAGTTCACTTTTGTGGAAATATATGCAGGGGCGGATCCAGGATTTTGGAAAGGGGGGCGTAGTTTTAAAGTTCGCCGAGCGTAGCGAGGCAAAAAATTTTTTGGACCTTTTTTTGGCTAAAAAACATAAAATAAGTTGAAAATGCATTTTATAGTTAAAGTGTAGGGGTTGGACATTTTTGGTGCCGTATTCTCTCCATTTATTGTCTATTATAAAATGATTGGATGGATCCAAAGCTATGTACTAATTAATATATTTGATGTGGGATTTGTCAGTAAAAAATGGACATGGAAAATTCTCGTTTGTTGTATGGTTAGTTAGCATAACCTCACAGATTTCTTGTTGTAAACAAGATATACGGCTATTCAATGAAATTTCATATACGACCGACACGAAGAAAGACAAACAAGCAATTTTTATCCAAATGTTTGGTTAAAATGTTTCAACCAACAAGGGAAGTGAGGGGTTCCAAATCAATCAAAGGCTACGAATGAGTTGGAAATGACAATGCAGTTGTGAATGACGGTTGACACATGGAGACATATAGGCCACACCCAGCAGGCAGGTTGCAGTCGGGCCTTGAAAAAAGTATTCAGTATATCAGTTCGGCGAAACAGACATTCCGGTCAGATATGGGATTCACATGCAACCCCCCCCCCCCCCCAAAAAAAAAAATTTACGCCCGTTTTTTATTCATCATGTTCATTTAATGCTAAATAATTTTGTTGAAAATATTTTTTTCTAATAGCAAAAAAGTGGACAAGATTATTGTTTTCAATCCACATACGGCCAGAATTTTTGTTTAAGGCAAAAATCAAGGTCAGAATTTGTATTCTAAAATATCTCAGACTGCCCCCTCAAATCAAATGGTCCGTACCTTAGACTTTAAATCTATATCTAGAGCTTACTGACTGGGGATCACTATTCAGCAATGTTATTAATGGGCTGGGGCGTGTGGGGTTAAACATGTTTTCGTAGGTAAATAATACTGCTGTGGAACTTTTTTTTTCATGAGAGTGTAATAGAGTATTACTTTCTGTTGGGTGGAATTGTGAAATAGAAGTCAATACGTTCTTGCTCAATACTTTGTAGCTTTGAAGGCGTCATGCTTGTCATCCTCAGCCTAATCAATGTGTTACTGTAATTTGAATTTCAAAATGACTGAGTGACGTTTTTTTCGACGTACTGGTCAACTCCACCGTAGCGAATCACATGACTTTGACATAATCAACAATATATTACAGTAAATACGAGCGAAAAATATCTTTATAAGTAAAGAATTGTCGCATAAAAATTAAATACACGGGAAATGGCAAAGTTCGCGAAGTCTAGTCTGATTAATCATTTTACAAAAAAAAAAAAACAAAAAAAAGTGCAAGCAAAAGGGGGGGGGGGGGCGTACGCCCTCTACGCCCCCCTCTGGATCCGCCACTGATATGCGTGACGATCGATTATTAAATTTCCTTGTTCTTGCTTAATTTGAAAGTCTTAATTATTGTCTTATTGGATTGGTTTTCAAGACTTTTCATCAAACATTGGAGGATCTAACCTTTGCTTTAGCCCTGTTTGTATTTTTTTTCTGATTGTCATTGAAACTCAAGGTTTAATTCCTAATGATTTCTTTCCAGGTTAACTTCACATGGCATCAAACGATCAACTTGTCTGCGAACCATGTTCAAGAGGTGATACTGTCTCATATGGTTACAGCTGGTGTTCTGACTGTGATGAAATATTATGTGCCGTTTGCAACAAAGCTCACCGAGTAGGTAAGCTGACTATGTCACACCATGTTACCGAGATACACGACTTACCGGTTATTCCGAAAGAAACTGTCATCAAATTACGTTTCTGTGATATTCATCCAGAAAAGATCGTTGACTTTTATTGTTCATTTCATGACGTCGTTTGTTGTCATACATGCATTCTTCAAAGTCATCGAGCATGTGAGAAGATTGAATTAATTGATGATGTGTCTAGTGGAATCAAGTCGTCAGCAATAGTTGAAGATGTATCAAAAGCAGTGTCTTCGTTATTGAGAACTTTTGACTCAGTAAAAGAAAATCGCAAAAATAACAAAGAGTCGATATATTCGCAAGAAACAATGTGTAAAACATCAATTGTCAAGCTTAAACAATGTCTACTGCAACACGTTGATTCGCTTGAACAATCTCTTTTCTCTAATTTAGCAAAACTAAAAGACGAAACTTTATCACAGCTTGATGCTGAGATAACAGAGGCAAACGCAATGAATGAATATATGCAGAAGACAAAGCAAGATCTTGATTTCATTATGAAGCATGGTTCTAATAGCCAATTGTTTCGTTTAGTTGAAAAATCGAAAAATAAAATATCAGAAGTAGAAGCGAGACTGCAAGACAACTTAATAAAAACGACGAATGTTGCTCTGAAATACATTGTCAAAGAAGACTTGTCCAACATTATATCAGCCCTTTCTTCAATAACTATACAGAACCAGCCGTGTGATATCGAACATATCTCTCAGTTGCAAAAGAAAGCTCAGTTTGTTCCTGCCGTGTTATCACTAACGTTTAATGAACCTATTTATTTAGCGTTACACGAAACTGGCTCAATATCGGGAATCGAATTGACAAGCAACAATGTATTACTCTTATGTAGCTATTTTGCAAACACAATACTTCAGTATAATGATGATGGTACTTTTATACAGAAAAAGGACTTAGATAACCGTCCATATCAAATAAAAATCATGCCTAATAATGAACAGGCCGCAGTTACAATGCCATTAAAGAGTAGCATTTTGATCATCGATGCTGTCAGTTTATCTTCCATTCGAGAAATAAATACTGAGAAAAATTATTATTCTATAGAAACATTCAATAACGCTTTTATTGTCGGTGGAGATGGTGTTTTGGACATAATAACAATGGACGGTAAAGTTAATCGAACGATTGAAGTGCCCAAAAAAGGCCACATTCGTTGTATAGTTAAAAGGCGAGACGACACAATTCTTTACACGAACTACCGTAAGCTTTACTGCATTCGGTTATTTGATGATACAAGTGTATTTAAATACACCGCGACAAAAGAAGCACGTGGTGTAGTTGAAGATAGATATGGATGTATATATGTTGCTGACAAAAAAAGTAAGAATATTCATCGGCTTGCTCCAGATGGTTCATTCATTGACATTATTGTTACTAATGGTAACAAAGAATGTTTTGATTCCCCGCTTGCCTTGCGATTTAGTCCAGATTTAAGTAAATTGTATGTTGGATTGGACGAAAATAAGACGTTATTGGTTTACAAGTGCAAATAGTTATTAGAAGATGCAGTTGCTTTTGCTACTAAGAAATATTTTAATATACAAGTAGAATAATATGTAACCTTGAAATTTCTGTAAGGATCTAACATTTCATAAAAGATTTTTGAATTTTCTCTTTAATCTTTTCGCAACTTGTATAACCCGGGATTATTTAGAGCTATCTGGGCACCTTTCAGCGCAACTATTATCCTTATGCCATAATGTATGACATGTATAGATACCCGTCCATTGTTGAAGTATGTATCATACCCTATACATACTTTTTTTTGATGTGTTTTTGTATTTCGATTGCCGTCTCATTTACGTAAATCCTATATCTCTTTATAGTCATTAAAAAATTAAGAAAACTAAGAAAACCTATAACATTATATCAATACATGATCGTATGTCCAAGACACAATGTAGTCTCGATATCGACGACATCAACGATATCGAGTCGATATCGACAAATAATGATCCAAATGTTTATCTGCTACATTTTTCTATAAAGATAATTTAGTTTCTCCTGGTTCATCTAATAAAGATGTCGATATTGACGACATCGACGATATCAAGTCGATATCGACACATTATGTTTCAAATGACTATCTACTACGATAATCTATATAGACAATTTGGTTTCTCCTGGTTCGTATGTTTTAAGATGTCGATATCGACGATATCGACACATTATGTTCCAAATGTCTATCTTTTTTACAGTTATGTATTTAAACAATTTTAGTTTCTCCCAGATCGTCTATTTTAGATGTCGATATCGACGACATCGTGTCGATATCGAAAAAATATGTTCCAAATGTTTATCTCCTACAGTTATCTGTATAGACAATTTAGTTTCTCCTGTTTCGTCTGTTTTAAGATGTCGATATCGACGATATCAACATCAGGTTTTGTCATTGGTTTCGTCATCAAAATCTACATCTGGTTATGATATGAGTGTATAAGTTCACCGATATCGATTCGATATTGTGTCGACATTGTCGATATCGACGATATCGACATCTTAGTATGTCTTGGACATGTATGCCAATTTCTCACGGAAAAAATTGACCTCACACCTCATTATGTCCTATGACGCCAACCCCCCAAGCCCCTTTCCCCCAGATAAACCCCAGGCCGACCGAGGCATTTGATTCATAATTGGAAATTGGAAACTCGTCTAATATTACGATGCAATTTTTACACAACTATTATATGATATCATTTGTCGTGAAAAGCTTATTCGATGAAGAAACTCATGTCGTGCGCTCAAATATTGATAGCTTGATTATTTAACATTAATGTACTATTTTCTTTGAACAGGGATAAGATTTATGTCCTATTAATCATCATCAGTTTATCGTACTTAAATGATTGATTGTTGTTTGCTTTACGTGGATAGTTATCTCATCTCAGTGGTAATCATACCACATCTCCTAATCAGGTGCTCTGGAAGAATAAATTGTTCCTACTAAATTAGTGACACACGTCGTGTTACTCATGCCCCTAAGGCTTATAAGAGTTCAGGACCATCACAAACATAAGGAAATATAGCCGAAATCTATGTTTAACTCATCTGTTTTTGGAACTGATAGCCCGTAATTATGCTGGACACCAATGTATTAAGCCGACGATCAATACGTCAATACAAAGACGTTACAAAATAAAGCCAATATTATACATTTTACTGTGATACTGATTCGTACGTGGAAACATGGAGTCTTGATAACAAATCATACATACCAATACATGTGAATATACATGTATGCGCAAACAAAACAGCAACCTATCGACATACATAAAAAAAAATGTGACGAAAATATTTGTTGGACGAACGAACGGACGGACAGAAATCTTATTCATTTTCGCTATTCGATTAATTTTATATAGAAAGAATCATTGAAGTGTTGTATTTGTAGTGAATACGAAGGTACAAGATAGAACAAAAAAAAAATGGAACCGTTAAATTCGATTAGCTTTAAAGGGTGAGTACTCTTTCTCTGTTCGTTAAAAATCCCTTGCAACATATTGTCTGTTGCAAGGCTATTCCCGACCCTATCCGACAAATCCTTTTTTTTCAGTGACAGCCCAAATTTCCTTCCCTTAAATCCGATCGAACTACCTTCTCTAATTGCTGATTTGTTCTCGTCGTGATTGTGAATGCAATAGTTCCCACTGGACGTTAAAGGGGCATTAGCTACGAGAAATAAAAACAATTACAATATGATTTTTTTTTGTTCAATCATTAATGAAAGTGATATGGTGAAATAATAATTCGCTTTTAGCAGGCAATTTGGTTCAATTTTGTCAAAACAAGCTAAGAAACATCGCTGATGAATTTTTCACTTGCACGTGAATAATTCGACCTCATTGAATCCGTATTCATGTGACCTTCAATAGTTAACCCCTTAGCTGGAGCTTGGTTACGCATTATTCATCTATTAAAAGGAAAAGAATGTCAACATTGAAAAGTGAAACAAGGATGAACCATTTGGTTGACTGATTCGATCCACACAAAAATTATTCTTATACAGGTAAAAACGATGATAAACATACTTTTCAACCTACAATATGAAATCAAACAGACCTAGAAAAATCCAGTTGCACGTGGTCGTTATCTATTTAATTTTATGTTTATATCTGATTATATGACCGTTGGCAGTCTCCGGAGGTCATCTCGATGGTTAATTAGATGACGTCTAGAGAAAATTGCACACGAAAAGTTAATACATATTATCGAGTCCATGCATTGTTAATTGTTTATTTCAGACTTTTTGTAATTTGGATATACGTTTTAATATGTTATAAATCAAATATGAGAATTTGAGTCAAATCGGTAAACATGAATTTGACAGCTAATGCCCCTTTAAGCAAACATTTAATCTAAAAATAAGGAGATGTGGTATACATGGTATAATATAATTGTTAATGAGACAACTATCCGCCAAAGTTCAATGCGATTATAGGCAATCGTACGGCCTTCAACAATGAGAAAACCCCATACCATTTAGTCGATTATAAAAGGCCCCGACATGAAAAATGTGAAACAATTCAATTGAGAATCATTATCCAAATTAGTACCTCACAAACCAACACCTCTTCATTTGACTTTATAAGTGCAATTGTAAATTTAATATCAAGAACAGTATTTAAAAAAAAAAAAGATACACAAAAATACGATTCAAACATTTGAAAGTTGATAAAACGATTTCCTTCTGCACACTATTATTTAGATTATTGATTAAAGGTGTGCGCATGTCTGCAACGAACTTTATAACTGAACAGACATGTGACTTACAAGTACCAAAGACCGAATTCAGCATAGGTGTGTCTTACAGGCAACATGTGTAATAATGTAGAAATCTAGTGGCGGAAAAAAAACCTGCTATATATGTTTTACATGTTTAAATTACTTCCGCTTTACCTATGGTGTTGCGTTTACATTATTCCATCATGGCGAAAGGGCTTCCAAAACAGGCGAAACTATAATATTGTAACGTGTAACGGGCGATCAATGGATCCGTATCTGAATAAATCAGGATTTCAAGTGTTAAACACAAATTTGCACCACAGCCAGTTGTCCTATTCAAAACAATTAACACATCCTTAAATGGATTCACAACGCAAAATATATACACAGCACAATGTACAAAAATCAAAATGCAAGGTGAAGTACCTCATTCACAATGCATAAACACAATGTTTCATAACTGAATATATATACACAATGTCACTATGCAATCACTATGCAACATGTATAAGACCGATTTATTCACAATGTCACTAACAGATCACTATGCAACATGCAACAGGCCCTTTATTACACAATGTCACCAACAGATTACTATGCAACATGCATCAGGTAAGTATCACACAAAACATATGAACACAAAATCAAACATATATATAACTTCTATTTACAACGTCCACCAATATGTAGTATCACCTTGTGAGTATGCAACTAACAACAACAACACAATGACACATTTACACTTGCACAAATCCTTCCATGCACAAGGAATATATATATAAACACAGCTGAACTCGCGCACTAACTATCCCTATGAGTTCCCGCACAATGAATATTCTCCAAACTGGTAAGGTTAAACGAAGTGCACTTTCACCTATACACTTCCACAATATAACAACTTGCAACACCAGCAAGTATACACAATGTATTCTCACTAATATACATCTATGAAGTATTCACACTTCCACAATAGTACAACTTGCATTCTCACTAATACAATAACTTATTATATAAGTTTCACTTTATATCACAATCACTATTGTAATATCCACATATAAATCCGAACACTATTCATATATCCTTTGGAATCACTAAATTCACTCTACTTACCAGTTGGAATATAATCCGTGATGTTATCACTTCAACGGTCCACATAAAACTGACAGAGTTTCTCTGTCTTGGGCTGGTTTATATACTACCATCTGGATCAGTCCATTATACTTAAAGGGGTGAAAATCAAGACTATACCAACTTTAGGGGTGTTTTAAGTAACAGATGGTGCTCCAACTATGGAGAAACTTATATAAATATAGAAACACAATAAATAGGAAAAGACAACTGGTATTTCACATCAAAATAAATGAACTATGACCGATTTTCGTTACACTACCCACGCCTCAAAAATCATGCGTCCCGCATGACTCCTTGAATACATCTGACATGCTGAGAAATCATCTATCAAAGTGGTCATTTTTCATACACAAACGCTACCATAGTGCAGGCACTATTTCCATTGGACATATATACATCAAGACAAAGCCTTTTCCCGCTTTGCCACTTCACAATACCAAACAACTTTGGTTAGATTCTGACCATATATATCTTCAATTATATATATATCTTCTGACCACAACGTCAGGCACCATTACATCCGACAATATGTCAGGCTACACTTTTGTCCATCAGGTCTTAACAGATGACATCACAAGGCACAACCCGTAGATACAAAGTCTACCTATATGTCCAAATTTCAGTCAGCCATATCAAACATATTGAACTTTCTTCTGATGTACAAACACTATTCACAGGATTTCTCTTTTTGTCCGAATAAAACTTTTTAAAACTTCCTACTTCAAAATATCCCTGTTTCTAACATTAACCTCTTT